TGATTTTAGTTTTATTGCACAAAATAGTTTTATTGCACTTAACCACATGGTGTATGGTGTTGTTGAAGCAGAATTTTGCCTCTGGTAGGTCACCCAAGAGTTTTTGCAGAAGGCATGGTTGGCTCTCATAAGTCATCAGGACGCAGGCTTGCCCCCTTCCCCCCCCCCCAGCTTTTATTACTAATAACAGATTGAACAATTATTTTGTCTGTGTGGGTGTGTGGGTGTGGGGGTGTGGGGGTGCGCGTGGGTGTGTGTGGGTGGGTGTGGGTGTGTGTGTGTGTGCGCGCGCGCGCGCGTGTGTCTGTGTGCGCAGGCACCGGGCATGTGGAAGTTAGAGGACAGCTTGAGCGAGTCTGTTCTCTTCCTTCCACCTTGAGAGTTGTGGGGATGGAACTCAGGCCACCAGTGTTTGCAGCAACGTTGGTTCACAGGTGGAGCACCCTACAAGGCAGAACAGATAAACAGTTGAGTGTTTTTGTGCCCGAGGATCTTCTGATAATTCTTTGCTTTTTTTCCCTTGAGAAAGGCATTTCATGAAAACAAGGAGAGGGATTCATTGCTAAATCTCAGAGTACGAAACAAGCCTTGGGGCTAAAAATTGATAATGTCATAAGCAAGGACCCACAAATACAATGCCTTTACGAGCCTGACTGGTGAAGGCAAGTAAGTGGATCTTCTAAGTGGAGATTCTGGCACTGCTCTGCTTATTGCTCAGTTGAGTCTAGTGAAAGATTCTGTCACTTTGGTATTTTGGGGGGGGAGTACGGAAGGGAAGGACAGACCACTCAAAGGTTCCGAGGTGGGGGAGCATGCTTTCCATGTTGGAAACAAGCAAAAAAGGCACTTTGGGATTGAGGGAGGCACCCCAGTCATTAAGAGCATTGTTTCAGTTCCATCATTCAATGACAAGTCCTCCTAGCTTTAACATTTCCAATTCCTGTAGTAACTGAGTCATCCCTGACTCAGACTTCATCCATTTGTATCTAGAAACTATGCAAACTCAGGTGTGAAGGTGCCCATAAAATATGTCCTTCTGGTGTTTTCTACTTAAGTCCTACCTGAGAAACTTTTCCTAGACTCCCCTTCTCTAAAATATGTTTCCCAATACTTCTTTCCCATAGCTCTCCTTTCTCTTCTTCCAAAGCATGGTTTATCATTATGTTTATGCCTGTGTATATTTTTAGTGACTGTCGTCTCACTGGATCAGTAATTGGTTTTCACTTACAAATTCAACTTATGTTTGTTAAGTAATCTTTTTCATGTTACAGTCCTGGAAATTTTTTTTCCATTAGAGGGATTATTATTCCAAGTTGTGCAGATAAATCAGATATTCAGAATAGTTAATATATATTTAAACTACTGATACAAAGTTTCTTCAAAAATAAGTCAAGCTGTAGGACATTGTATTAGAAACAGTACAACTGAATACTGGAATAAATGGCATAAGTAGCAGGTATACAAGGGAAAGGAATAGAGAAAAGGAGGATATGGAATAATAAGCTTTTGCTCCTTTTTGTTTTAGGCATCTTTCATTTCTACATTTACTTGTGTTTTGACACACACCCCCTGAGGGCATATTCTTGGAAAGAAAATTGTCCCTAGTGGAAGAAACAGACAAAAACAAGTAGACATACTTAAATGCTACTGTGGCAATGAAGTTCTGAGATAGAATAATAGGTTGCCTACCAAGTTAGGTAGACTAGAGATAGAGATTGTGAGCGATTCAGTATAAAGTGATGTGGCATGTATTAAGGGAAAAGTCATCAAACTACTTACTATCTATGGGCCAAATCGAATCTGATGCTGCCATTTTAAAATAAAGTTTTATTAGAATATACCCATGCCCATTTAGGTATTGTCTGTGAGTGCTTTTGCTTAAAAGAGTAAAAGAATTTCATTTTTTAAAATATAATTTAGCAAATAACTAATGAGTATATAAAAGGTTTGACAGCTCTTACTTTCCAGAGATGTTGACATAAAGAAAAGTGATTTTTTTGTGTGTTTTTGTTTGTGTTTGTTTTTCCGAGATTGTGTGTGTGTGTGTGTGTGTGTGTGTGTGTGTGTGTGTGTGTATCCCTGGCTGTTCTGGAACCAGCTTTATAGCTCTGTAGACCAGACTAGCCTCAAACTCAGAGAACTAAGAAATCCTCCTGCCTCTGCCTCCTGAATGCTTGGGTTAAAGATTTATACTACCACTCCCAACTGTGATGTGTTTTTGAAGTAAAACCAGAAAAGATATTGTGGCAGATGGCATGTGGGAGTAATATAAAAAAGAGGTGTAAGGGCTAATGTTTTTCTACCTTGAAAATTGTCTGTAACTGATCCCAATTAATGAGAAGCAGGGAAACTACTCACTACCATTTTTGACATTGTTCTTCATTTTATACCCATTATGTAGTACATAGTCTGATAAATAGTTGATGTTTAAATCATGTATGTTGAGTGTCAAATTAAGGAATTAGGTTATTAAAATGATATTTCTTAGGTTGGGAGATGCATCATTTAAAACAGAAATATTGTGTTAGGAACTGCTGTAGTGGCATCGTTAGCTCAGGCTCAGCTATCACTGTGTTAGGAACTGCTGTAGTGGCATCGTTTTCTCAGGCTCAACTAGCTAGCACTGTCCCAGAAAGAAGACACTTTGACCTGCACATCTTTTTTACTTATACAGTAGAGTAGGTTATTAATTTTATGATCATCTAACAGTTCTCAGTTTGCATCTAAAAGAATAGAGTGGGAGAACATGTTCTTCCATTTGTACGTAGGATTCCTATGGTAAAACCACCTCAGCAAAGTTAGTGGGAGTAATGCTTTTGAGGACCAATTGGTGAAGACTGTCACCATGAGTTATTCTTGCTTAAGCAGCATGCACCTAACATTGTAACCAAAAATATTATGAATTCTAACTGGAACTCACCACTAGTGGTCTTGTAGAATCAGTGAGGAGTGTGTAAGGAAAATAATCTCCAATATCCTTACAGTTATAACTGTGTATTTCTTGGATCCTTGCAGTGAGGAACTCCATTTGGAAAATTATTTTTACTTACTGTTCTCTGTTTAGTACCCTTTAAATTGCTCAATAGTATATTCTGGGAAACCCTTTCCCTACTCACAATGCTGTCTTCAGAATAGAAAATAAAACAAATGGCCAAACAGTTAGCAAAGAATAAGCTCAGATGTGTAGAAATTAGAATCTTCAGTGAATGGCAGGATCTTACAAAGGGCTCTTAAAACTCATCTTTAGCTCTCTCTTTTTAAAGACTTATTTTATGTGTATGAGTGTTTTGCCTAGATATTTATGTATACCTCATATGTGCCTGACGCCCAGGGAAATCAGAAGAAGGTGTTAGTTAACTTATAACTGATGCTTTGGACAGTTGTAAGCCACCATGTGAATACTGGGAATTGAACCCTGCTGTTCTGCAAGAGCTTCAGATGCTCTTCAGAGCCATCTCTCCAGCACCTAGAACTCATCTCTTATAATTTCAAGTATTCAAAACCCAAAAGGGATCAGCTGTAATGGTTGTAACATCACTGTAGTTAAACAAGAGGTTCCTTTGGCTAGTTACATACCTGTGTCTAGAGAAGAATGGAGTAAATATAAAAAGCACATGTCACAAAAGAGTTGCTTTCCTGGAGATTTTAGCTTATTCTTTACTGTGTCTATTTCTCTTACTGTATCCCAGAAGGAGAATGTGTATAATGTTCATGAGTCAGCAAGAATATTTAAATCAGTGGGGCTCAGCTCTGGTGGTACATCAAGATCAATTTTAAATCCAACAACAATAACCCAACAAATAACAAGACCAAGTGTCTGTGGCTCACATTGATTACTTGAAGTCAGCAGAGGTCGTAACCTAGCGGTATGTCTAAACCCCAGAGGAGGTAATGACACACAGCCAGGATAAGAGATACAGAAAATAGGTTATACTGGTGGTTATAGGAAAACATCTGATAATATATTTTAGAAAAATGTCTATGAAAATAAATATTTAGTTTCAGTTATTTGGAAAACTTGTTTTTTTTCTCATTAGGTAAGTGACTTCATAAGCTTTTGAAAAGTTAATTTTCTTCCTCATTATAGATAGGTGGTGTCCAGGAGAAAGATGTCTCGCTCCTTCTTCAGATAACAAAAAGCTTTGTGAAGCAAGCATAAAGTCTGTCACTGTGGACGAAAATGGAACGCCATGTGCAGTTGTCCTGTATTCAGATTTTCAAGAAAAGAAAATACCTCTTCAAAGACTTAAAGAAGTAAAATCAACTAAAGATTGCTCCAGGAGTTTTATATTTGATGATGAAGATTTAGAAAAGCCTTATTTCCCAGATCGAAAATTTCCATCATTGGCTGATGCTTTTAAATTATCAGAAGATGGAGACTCCATCCCTTACACCATTAATAGGTACTTAAGAGATTACCAAAGAGAAGGAGCTCAGTTTCTCTACAGACACTATATTCAGGGAAGAGGGTGTATTCTCGGTGATGACATGGGACTTGGAAAAACAATACAGGTATTTCTATTAATTACTTCATAATTAAAAATAAGCTCATCCTATGTATAAGAGTGTATATACTATGCAGGTCTCTATTTGTAATACCGACTGTTGCTACAGGTTTTTGTTTGTTCAGGTCTTGTGCATGCTGTCCCACTTTTTGAGTTTATGTGTGTATCAGCCCTGTTACACCTAGAATATGTGATTTCCTTGGAGTTGTCCCCAATGTCTGGTTGTTACAGTCTTTTCCTTTTCCTCTTCTGCATAGATCTGAGCCTTGAGGGTAGGGATGTGATGAAGACATCCATTTAGTGCTAACTGCGTCCAAGTTTCTCACTCGGCATTAGCACTATCTTTAAGCAGGAAGAAATCTTTTAAAAGTGTGATTCTGAAGGCTTCTGTCTCTTTATGTTCTGTGAGATGAAGAAAATAAGGATGTGGTTATATCCTTTCCTTTTGTCTTAGGAGATTTTTTTTGGTTAGGCCTTTGGTTTGAATGTTTCATCTGTTTCCCAGGCTCATGTTTATTCTATATCAGGAGCTGACTGCAGGTGAGGAAAGACGGCCTAAAAAAATCTTCATTTTATATTTGTCATAGATCTGTAAATTCAGATTTGTAGAGACCTGTATCTGTACTGCCAGTGAATTGCGGTAGAGCAGCCCGACTTTCTCCAAATATCCGTGTTTCTTTTGCTGTGGAGTAGTAGCCCAAGTAAAGTATTTCTCTAGTTTTGTGTGTCAGTGTAACGTTTGACAGACTTAGGCCAGGCACCATAGCACGGTGAGTGCCGCTGGGCCCTGTGTGTCTGACAGACTTAGGCCAGGCACCATACACGGTGAGTGCCACTTGGCCCTGTGTGTCTGACAGACTTAGGCCAGTCACCATAGCACAGTGAGTGCCACTTGGCCCTGTGTATGAAACACCTGTGTAGTTCTTCACCTCCTCCTTCTCCCTTTTGGATATTAGCACACTATAGCTAACATTACTTTAATTAACATAACAAGCTGAGAGATTTCCATGGTTTTAATTTCCCTGTCCACTTAGGGTGTATTCTCACTAAAATACAAATTCATTTTTATTTTAACATTCCTTTTTGAGTAGGGGTGAATGACACAGTGAAGTTAGAAGTTAGTGTGTATTATTATTATTATCACTAGTATATTTAATGAATTAGGTAAAACTAATTTCTAATTGGACTTTAAAATTTTATGACATTTTTTCAAAGATCTGAGATTTTTTTTAAAGATTTGTTCTTTATTTTGTATATATATATGTGTTTCTGTGTGTGAGAATGAGCACGTGTGTGTGTGTGTGTGTGTGTGTGTGTGTGTGTGGTGCCTGAAGTATCCAGAAGGTACGTGATCCCTGGGAGCTGGAGTTACAGGCAGTTGTGAGCCACCCGATATAGGTGCTGAGAACCGAACCTGGTCCTCTACAAGAGCAGTACATGTCCTAACTGCCACACCCTCTCTTCAGTCCTAGTTCTGAGACTAAGTAAATGAAAAATATTTTACGTTTTTGCTTTAGGGAATTTGACAAATCTAGAATTAAGATTACTTTATTTTGAAAGTATTCTATTGTATAATGTCTTTTTTTGTTTCCTCTAGCCACTTTTAAATAATTTTTGTGGCTCAGTTTTGTCCTATGAAGCACTTACTCGTGAATTTTTAATATTTTTTATTTTTGTGGTGGCGAGTAATTAATATTCATAACTATGGCTTAAGATGTTTTCTTTTTTAAAATGATGAACTTTTATTTCTTCAAATAACTTTCATTACCATTCCTTTTCTTCTATTATTTGGGATTTAGACCATATATATGTGTGTGTGTGTGTGTGTGTATATATATATATATATATATATTATATTAAATATATATATATTATATTAAACATACTTTTCTCATAAGGTGTGTACTGACAACCAAATGTATGGAATTACAGTCACACTTGTAATTCCAGCACTTGGGAAGCTTGAAGCAGGATTGCTACAAGTTTGAGGCCGCCTTGATGGGGCTACTAAGTGAGTTTTAGACTTCACTGGACTATAGTGAGACCCTTTGTCAGCCCCCTCTTTGTCCCCAAATATAAACTTTTCCTTCATAGTTTTTCTAATTCTCTTATATTTTTTTCTTTAGGTTTCAATATTTCTATAATTTATTTTTTAAATAAACGAGTTATTTCCTTTTATATGAATACCCACCTCATACATTTTCATCCCAAATCTTCAAAATAACCCTGCTGATATTATTTTTTGTCATTTTGACAGATAGCTATTTAGGGAGTGTAATTACCTTGCTGAAATTCACATATTTTGCCAAACAACCAGAGCTAACATTTGAACCAACGAGCATCTAATTAGTTGACTGTTGATTGTGTGGTGCTATACATGTCTTTTCTTATTTTTATTCTCATTTAATTTTTGGAGAATAACTGCTATTCAAAATGGTATGTGTATTGATGAGTTGTAATAGCCTATCTTAAATTAGCATTCTGTCATTCATTAGATAAACAAAGGCACAAAGTTATGAGGCAGATACTTCTTCCTTTAAGGAATGTATTTTCTACAAGAAAAGAAAAATGTATAGTTTATTTTAGAGACTTTGAAAAGATAGTATCCATGGATAGAAACAAATAGTAAGGTAATATCTCAGATGACGGAATAAAGAAAGAATTCATCAAGTGGGCAGAATTGTTCCAAGATGAGATAGGCATGTGGAATTTTATGTGTTCAAAGGCAGTATTATCATACGTTTGCTTGTTAATTCAAAGGAAGTACCAATATTTTTATGTTTCCTTTAACATCTCTTTGTCTGTAGTCTACTGATTAGTTTGTCACATACACAGTGAAATTATGCATAGTGATAAAAAGTCTTTTTTTCTTCCAGGTTATTTCATTTCTGGCTGCAGTTTTGCATAAAAAGGGAACTCGTGAAGATATTGAAAATAACATGCCAGAGTTCTTACTAAAAAGCATGAAAAAGGAACCCTCTTCTACAGCACAAAAGGTGAAATATCCGGAAGTATTCAGCTCACAAACTTGACATTGCAAATACAGAAGCATTTAAACACAATGTAATGTGTTATACATTTTAAAGCAAGAATATAGACATTAAACTATTTCTTTTCTTTTTTTCTTTTTTCTTTTTCTTTTTTTTTTTTTTTTTTGGTTTTTCGAGACAGATTTCTCTGTGTAGCTTTGGAGCACTGGCTCTGGAGACCAGGCAGCCCGGAACTAACAGAGATCTGCCTGCCTCTACCTCCTGGCTAAACGATTTCTTTTAAACTTTTTGGAAGGCTGCCAGTTTCATCTGCTAGTTGCTAGTACGGGCACCAGACATGATTGGGCATGGTGAAGGTGGAGCTGCCGTAGACAACATAAGAGATTTGTAATAAAACAAAATTACTAGAAATGTTATGCTTATAGTCTCTGTGTGTATATATGCTTGTGTGTGCACACATGTCAGAGGTCAGTGTCTGGTGTCTTCTCTCTTCACCTTAGGTTTTCAGACAGGGTCTCTCACTGAACCTGGAGCTTGCTGTTCCAGCTAGACTGGCTGGCCAGCAAGCCCCAGGAAGCCCTCTTGTTTCTACCTTCCCAATGCCACCCAGCTTTTTTAAAACATGGGTGCTGAGACCAACTGAGTCATCGCTTCAGTCCCCTTGTGTGCTTTTACGTTGTCCTCAGTGTTTAGAAAGTTGATAGGAATAAAAATGGAATGTTTGATGAAAACAGTTACTATTTTATGAAGGTAATGAACTATGTTCCTCAAGTTCTCAGATGGAGTTTCTTTTATAAGATTTTATAAATCTTATTCACAAGATAGTTTACTCCAATACCCTCAGAAGGGTTATTTTATATAAACTTTGAGAAGTACCGACTTACATTTTTTTTGGTAATTTTTTTTTATTAGTTCAAATTAGGAACAAGCTTGCTACACATGTCAATCCCTCCTCCCTATTCCTTCCCCCCAACCCTCCCCCCAACTTCCTACCTGCCCCCTACCCCATCCACCCTCCACTCCCCAGGCTGGGTAGGGCCTTTGACGGGGGCTCCCCAAAGTCCACCATATCATCCTGGGCCAGGCCTAGCGCCCCCCACCCCCCACCCCATGTGTCCAAGTCGAGATGTGGGATGGGATCTCAAAGTCCCTTCTTACACCAGGGAAAAATACTGATCACTACCAGGAGCCCCCTAGAGTGCCAAGGCCTCCTCAGTGACATCCATGTTCAGGGGTCTGATTGAGTCCTGTGCTGGCCTCCCCGACAGCAGTTTGGGGTCCATGTGCTCCCCCTTGTTCAATCCAGCTGTTTCTGTGGGTTTCACCAGCCTGGTACCAACCCCTTTGATCTTCATTCCTCCCTCTCTGCAACTGGGTTCCAGAGGTCAGTTCAGTGTATATCTGTGGGTGACTGCCTCTACTTCCGTCAGCCACTGGATGAGGGCTCTCGGTATGGGTCAGGCGGGCCGACTTACCTTACTACTTTAAATCATCTTACTCGTAACAGCATTCGTGCATGTGGTGTGATACAAAGCTGGTGTCTTCATTCATTCTTTCCTTCCTGCCTTTATGCATCGTGCATATGTATTTAGATCCTTTGCCACCGTAGACATTACTCTCACGAGGTCTCCTTCAGCTGAAATTTTATTAATCTTTTGTCTTGTATTCAAGTAAATTCCATTACTGTGTAAATGTCCCTTAGAGCACTACTTTAGTGTCACTCCCATTTGACAAGTAGTAGTGTTTTCATTATTCTTCTCTAAATTGTCTGTGACTCCAATTTTGTTCTCTTTACCCAAGTATTACTTAAAAGAGAAGTCTTAAAGTTTCCAGATGAATATAGTAATTGGTAGAGTGATGGAAGAGCTTAGTTCTGTGTGTTTTTCTTATAGGATAGTATAATCATAATGTTTCCTTTGTGAAGTATTTTTAATGTTTTGATGTTGTATTTTGTATAGTCTATTATTTGGAAATACCCACTTGTTTCTTGTAGTCTTTGCTATTATGGCCACATAGTTGTGTGTTTTCTGTTTAACCTAGCTTGATTACCTTGTTAAAAGCCTTAATCTCATAGTTGAGGCAACTTAGAAAGACAGGGATCCTTTTGACTGCTGAGTGTCAAGAATTACAGCACAATTAGCAGATTTGCTGTGAGATTTGCCTGTATGTAAACAACATAGCCATTTCAAATAGAATACTAAGTTAAGGAATTTTGTAAACCTGCAGACTTTTTCAGATGCTCCCTAGACTATGAACTTTGTTTATGGGAAAAGCCTATGTTTTCACTACCTAGTGACCAAATATAATGAGGATTCCTTCAACATTTGTCACCTTTAAACCTGCCCAATGTATCTCAGGAAACAACCTATGATCCCACTTACTGAAAAATGATATTGAGGGAAGGGCATTAAAAATTATTTAACAAAGGAACCTTATAGCCACCAAAAGTATTTATAGGGCTATTGCTAAAACACTTAAGCTCAGCTCTCTTGACAAGCTCATGTCTGTCTGTGGATATGTACTACCCTTTTTCTGAAGTTCTTTCTCTATGTCAAAATCATGCTTGAATCCAAGCTAAAATCTTTTAATAAAGTGCAACTCTGCTTCATATTTTCTCATCCTGAAACTTTCCTGCAGTGTAGTCAAGAATCCTGACTTCTCTTGAGCGACAGTCTCTAAAAAAGGCCTGGGCCAGCTGTGTCTTCTGATTCTAATATGATTTTCCTGTTTATTTGAGCAACTGAGTTCTGAGAAATCTGTATTAAATTTTCTGTAATGACTGAGGTTGTTGTTGATCTTGTATTTGTGTTGGCTTGCATTAATCTCTGTAACTTTGGTTTCATAAATTTTGTTTGTATATTGGTTACATACTCAGTTAACAGCTTGTTTGCTGATTTCTGAGTTCAAAATTTATCTTATAACATGACCTAAATAATTTTATTATCTACTGTCATTGCTTATTGTAGATGATGAACTGATTTTTTTTCCCATTGAAGGAAATTTCTTTTTGTTGAAGTACGTAGGATTCCAGAACAAAGCCCTAATATTAACTGTAGAATTCTTTAAAATAAGTTCACTTTTGAAAAATGTGTCCAGGGGTTACTGAGATGGCTCAGCAGTTAGGAGCATTTACCACTCTTACAGAGGACCAGCATTTGGTTCCTAGCATTCACAACTTACAACCATTTTTAACTCCAGCTCTAGGGACTCATATGCTTCTGGTCTCTTCAGGTTCCTGCATGCATGTGGTGCCATATGTACACACACATAAAATTAGTAAATACATATTTTTAAAAATTGATATAACAGTATTTTTTGTAGGGGAAGGTAAGTAATGATTCCACAGTAAATGTTTTGACAAAGACTAATACCACCAATCTTTCTTAAAGGGCATTACTTTTATTGGCCTGGTCCTTCCAATAGCTCCAGTTTGTCTATTGGGTTCTGTTATTGTTTTATGGCTGTTTATTTGATGATTTCTCTTTCATTGCCTTCTCGGTTCTGCAGTGGGTGGGGAGTGTGTACCTATTGCCATCTGACTGAACTGCTCTGCTCTGCTGGGAGTTCCCTTCCAGGCATTATAGCACTATTACATATTGTTTTCATATTTGTTCCTCATTTTGCTGGCATCAGAACATACATGTTTTTGGAGAGTCTGTTTGAAGTAGCATACATTTTTAAGAGATGTTTTGTCAAAAAGAGAATACGTAAAATATAGCTAATGCCAGAATTAAAGCAACCCTGAAAGACTGATCTTCAGTCTCCTTGAAACAAAAAACACTCAGTGAATTAAATGTTACAAATTAAAGAGTAGTTTTTTGAACTAGGGATGTATATTGCGTGAGAGAGATAATATTTTACATAGATACTAAAACTTGTCAGGCATGAATAAGACTTTGAGGAATTCGTGAAATATAAGTACCAGTGAATTCCTAAAGGAAAAGACACAAATCATTCATTTCAAGTACTGATTCTTGGAATGAGTTGTTAGATTTAGGCTAAGTTTATGCTGTAGATTAGTCTTTATGAAATCAATCATAGTAAGTTAATTAAAATGATTGTCTTGTAAGATCATACTTTGGAGACGCTAAGAAAAAATATAACAGAAGGGAGGGGGCTAGGGAAATTGCTCAGTGGGTAGAGTGCTTGCTGTGATGGTAACTGTGTAAAACGTGGGTTGGCAGTTCACATCTGTGTCAGTGCTGGAACAGAGACAGGCAGGTCCCGGGCTTCCCTGCTATCCAGCCCAGCCAAAATAGCAAGCTCCAGGTTCAGTGAGAGAGGTGGGGAACTGGAGAGGAAGACCTTCAAAGTCAACCTCTGCCCTGCACATATGTATACATGCATGTGCACCACACAGAAGGAAAATTAAAATTGAGAAACGAGAGGAAGAATTTCCTAGCAATTACAGTACCAGCGTTAGAAAAGTTTTCAGTGGTATTGAGCAAAAGTACTTTTCAGCTATCTTGTTTAACCATTTACCACCTTTTTTAGCTCTTGTTATATGGTTGAAACAACTAGAAAGTTTCTGTTTCCTTTCTGTTGCTGTGATGAACCACTCTGGTCAGATGCAGCTTGTGTGTCGTGGTTGGGGGGTATTTGGCTTACACTTCCAGGTCATACATAGACTGTTGTTGAAGGAACTCACAGTGGGAACCTGGAGGCAGGAACCATGGGGAAGCACTGCTTGCTGGCTCCTTCTCTCACTTGCTCTCAGGTTCATGCTTAGCTCCTTCTCTTGTGCACCCAGGATAGCTTGCCTAAGGATGGTACAGGATCTTCCACATCAGTTAAAAATAAAGACAGCGCCTCACAGGGCAGTCTGATCAAGAAAATTTCTCAATTGAGGCTTCCCTTCTCAGGTGACTCTAGGCTATGTCAGACTGACAATTAAGACTAACCGGAACATACATACTAGAACAGAAAAGTAAGAAGCCAAGCAGTTTTAAGAAGAATCAGTCATAGGAGGCTGCATTGTAAATGAACACTCTCATGTATACATCTCACCAACTTTTGTAGCTAATAAGTGTAGGTTAAATTCTTAGCACTGCAGTTGTAAGGGTAGGAACTACTAGAATTGTGAAAAACTACTGAGTGCCCAGATGGAGTTGGTACCCAGGATTCTCATCTTGTAATATACAAAACTCAAAGAGTGACATCACAGTTGGACTTAGTAATTTGAGTTTTTACTTTGTATTTGAAAGCAGAAAAATTAAATTGTAAGGTAAACTAAAATAACAAAGGTATTTGGAGTGAAATAAGAAAGAAAAGGTACCCCTGTGGTTGGTGGGGGTGGGGTGGGAGGGTGAGGAGCTCCCTTCAGTTAAACTTTTGTTTCCGGCCTTCCCTTTACCAACACAGTCACATATTCTGTTTCTTACAGGTCATAAGTGACCTGGATGAAACATTACACAGACCCTTACGTTTTATAGGATGTGTTATTGGTTCATCTCTTGGGAGTGAGGCAGGTATAAGCCCTTAGAAAAGTTTACCAATAATACCATTATATGTAGCAATCTAGGAGTGTTGGTCATAGGGAAGATATTCAGGGCTAAAAAGAAAAGTAGAACCTCCAAGCACCACTGTGAAAAACAGATATGTTAGTCATCTTAACAAACTACTCTGGTTGAAAGCTGAATCAATCAGCTTTCTTTCACTCAGACAAATTACCTGAGATAAGTAACTTAAAAGGAGAGGTTTATTTTGGCTCTGAGTTTTAGAGGTTTTAGTTCATGATCAGTGTTTTTCTTGCTCTATAGCCTATGGCACGGCTCATCATGATAGGAATACATGGAGGAGGAAGCTGCCTTCTTCATGGAGGCCAGAGTGAAAGAGAGAAGACATGTTCTCCAAGGACATGACCCAATAGTTTAATGCCTTTTCACAAAGTTCTGTCTCTTTAAAGTCCCACCATCTCCCCGGGAGCCAAGCTTTACCACACATGCCTTTGGTGAACACTTCATATCCAGACTATAGCTTATTTCCAAATGGAGAAGAAATTCTGTTTATATGAGTTCAGTAGAGAACAGGGGATAGAGGAATGAGTATTGAGAAGTCTTAAGACCATTGCTGTAAAGTAAGGGACTGGTGGCCAAAGATGGACAATGAAGAACACCTGTTCTGTTTTTTTCAGTTTTATTTTGTTTTGGTTTTTTAACTCTGGGAAATATACTCCTGGATAAAAGTGGTTTGTTATCATGATAAAGCTGGCATGTGGGGAAGACTGGGGCCAGTTTTGCTATGTTGGTTCTAGATTGGCAAGAGAGATTGGAGCCACTGAATATAATCCAACGTTGTTTTGAAGAACATAAACAGTCTGTGGTTAGAGGTGGGAAGGCAGGGTGTGTGGAAATAAATATAGGCAGAGTTACTGATAGAAACCTACATGGAGGTGCTTCTCTGCTTGCTTCAGTTTTCCAGTGAGTTTCTCATGCCTTCAACAGAGAGAATCTGAGAAAAATGGAGTGGGAAGGAGAGGTGAACGGAACCCCAGAAGACTGTGTTCAGAGAAAGATGCTACCCATTTGCTGTGCATATTAACTCTATTGTTGGGATCCTGATTTTATTCTCTGTCTCTTGCTCTGTCTCTCTCTCTCTCCCCCCCCCCTTTTAAAGAGTTACCGTTCTCTTCTTCAATGCCTTTAAGAATAGAAATGAAAATAATCATTCCCTTTAGTGGGTTTTTTTTTTTTTTTGGTTGTTGTTCTAACAAAAAGCTAATTAAACAGAGTATTTTTGAGGAATTTTTGTCCACATTTAGCAAACCAGTCAGTTGTATTAATCTGAAGGTTATTGTGTGCAGCGTGCGCTCAAAGATGAATTATAGTCCGTAATGGTAAGATTTCTTTATTCAAGAAAGCACTAGGGCAAAACGCAGGCCAGAATGAGGTCACAGGAACCCAGCTAGTGAGGCCAGAGAGAAGGGCTAGGGTCTCCACGTGCAGCCCTTAAGAAGCTTCCCTTACATCACCCTGGCTTTCCTTCACCACGCCCTTATGGGCGAGTCCTGGGTCCACCTGGCACCTGTCCCAGGACTATTGGGCGGGGCTAGGGTGTCTTCCCTACATTAATCACTTACTTATAGCATCAAAATCAAAGAGTGGAACCATTGATACTGTGTATTTCATGTTGGAGTTCTTATTAAAAACATGGATGCCTTTCTTTCTGTTTTTAGATGTTCTTAGTAGTCGCTCCTCTTTCTGTCCTCTACAACTGGAAGGATGAATTGGATACCTGGGGATATTTCAGAGTCACTGTTTTACATGGTAGCAAAAAAGACATCGGACTACTTCGTTTAAAGCAAAGGAAATGTGAAATTGCTCTGACAACCTATGAAACTCTGCGCTTGTGTCTGGAGGAACTCAACAGGTAAAATCATGAGAGTGATGCTGTCAGTGTGCTGCTGTCATCAGTCATATGCATCCTTTATGTTGTGATGCAAAACTCAAACTCCTTTAGCTTGACTTCATGTCAGGGTTAATAAAGCAGAGCTGTGAGAGCTACCTCCATCTGGAACGGCGTCCCAGCACTTCATATCCCATTTCTTAATCTCAGAATAGGACTCCTCTCTAAACAGTGCATTTTAAAGGAGGGTAAGATTTGTCCCATGTACAACACTGTGTAAATGATGCCTCCAAGAGTATTGAAAGCCACTGAAGATACTTTGATCTAAACCTTAGATCAGCAGCATACCCTAACACAGTTCCAAGATAAATAGGAAAACCGCTGGTAGGTATGTTGAGCCACACTGATGGAGGAAAACCAATTAAGAGGTTTGTTCTGAAATAACTTGTGTCAAAACTCCCAATTCATGACCCAGCCTCAGGATGCAATCACATTTAAAGATGTGATTTTTTTTTTTTTAAATGGACTGTTTGGGTAGAAGTGTAAGTCAACATAAGGTGTCTTCACTAGGTAACAGACAAGTACCAAGAGCATAGAAATAGGGAAGGACTTGTGAGTTGTCTAATGTCTTCTGAATGCTAAAATATTATGGTTTCAGTCAGTTTGAATTATAGTCAGTGAAAGAGAATGGCAGGAAACTACCTTAAAGGTGATGCTTTCAAATCAGCTAAAATGCCTGGCCTGAAATAATAATGAAGAACAAAACTAATTATTCTGAGTGTTGTGATTACAGACGTGTCACCATGTCTGACTTTTATATTCACATCGCTAACAACAAATTATACTATAATTTTTAATGATTTTTGGGCCAACTATGGTTTTCTTAGGAGAAATTAGGATTTTGCTGTACTTTGCCTTTTATAGCCCTATGCAAGAATAATTTTCATGTCCATATTGTAGAGTTGGAATTGTACTTGTGAAGTCCAAACATTTCTTGGAACAAACTTGGGTATTTATGTGGCTCAGGTTTCCTGAGTCATCCGGTACCCCAGCTCCTGGTTCCTAAGAACTGTACATATGCTTTAGAGTGCTCCCTGACTTGTTTCTCTAACTGGCCTCCAGACTGTTTGTCTTTGCTTCTGTAAGTCATCTTGTCCACTTTCCATCTCTTCCTTTCTGTGTTCTTGAGGTTCTATCTTTTTGTACTTTTATCTTAAGAAATCTATAGAAAAGTTGGACAAATATGTGTGTGTGTCTATCTACTCAACAGTTACAGCCAACAGATATTTTTGTGCATATCTATGTATGCTTGTGTGCTCTCTTGTGTATAGACAAGCATGTGTGTGTTCATGCATTGTACATAAATGCATGCACCCATTGTCTAAGTATACTAGTGAATCATTTCAGTAAGTTTCATATAGCATGACAGCTTAAGTGCTAAATATTTTTATGTTGTTCTAAGTTTTGTGTTCTTTATTGTTGTTTTTTACTCTTTTGGGGGCCCTCACCCAGCTCCCAAATAAATACACTGAGACTTATTCTTTCTTATGAATGCCTGGCCTTGGCTTGGCTTATTTCTAGCCAGCTTTTCTTAAATTATCTCATCTACCTTTTGCCTCTAGGCTTTTACCTTTCCTATTCTATATTCCTCTCTTTCCTTCTCTACTACATGGCTGGCTGGGTAGCTGGGTGGCTGGCCCCTGGTGTCTTCTCTTTCTCCCTTTCTCACTCTTTCCTCCTCTCAACTGTTCTTGTATTTATTCTCTCTGCGTGGCAGCCCCACCTATCCCTCTCCTGCCTAGTTATTGGCTGTTCAGGTCTTTATTAGATTAATCAGATGTTTTAGTCAGGCAAAGTAGAACAGCTTTACAAAGTTAAACAAATGCAACATCAAAGGATGCAACACGTCTTTGCACCATTAACAAAAGTAGCAGAAACAAATGTAACATGCTTTCACATAGTTAAAATAATGTTCTACAACACTTTATATGTCACTATTCCTGTCATATGGGTAGATAACTTGGTAAAGTGCTTGCTATGAAGCATGAGTTTGATTCCCTAGAGCCTAGTGGGCATGGTGGCACACACTTATAGTTGTAGAGATAGGTCGATCCCTGGAGCTCACTGACTAGCTAGCCTAGCCGAATTGGCCAGCTCCAGACCAGCAAGAGATCCTGTATCAAAAAAAAAAAAAAAACCCAGGGTGGACAACATCTAAGGAATAATACCTGAGGCTGACCTCTGTCTTCCACATGCATGCACATGCAGGTACATACATATATACATTCACAAAAGAAAGTAATAAAAAATTAAAGAGTGAGGGGAAAACAAATATCCTTAAGATATAATCAGTAGCTAATTTCCGTAAAGTAGGGTTCAGTAAAGGTTTGTGTAGTGCCTTTGGTTATTAAGTCTTTCATACTCACCCGATATAGACTGATTCCCTCTATTGTTTGTATCTCAGTAAATTGAGCCTAACCTGAAGCGTTGTTAGATGCAGGTTAACGTTGTTGGCAAGGATGCTTTACGGATATTGCTATGGACTCCATATTTGTTACTTTGGAGTAGTATGCCACGATGTTCACTGCTAAGGACACTCAGTTTGCCTATAGGATAAGAAGGGAAGCATCCATACAGTAGTACCTTAAAACATGCTTTTCCCTTTACAGTAGCAAATCCATAAACTGACATTTTGCTACCATTTTAGTATTATGTCCATTTATGGATATGCTTTGGCATGTAAAATCTATTCTTGCTTGAACCCACTTATCTTATTGGGTCTTACTTAGAGCATAATGTGTTTTTCTAGTTTATCATTTCTTTTATCTTATTAGTGGTATTCTTCTATAAAGATGAGTGCCTGATTGTATTAAAAGTTAAACTAATGAGTCTACAAATGGTGGCACTTTATCTTCCTCTTTTGTTTTCTAAGTTGTAGACATGCTAATTTGCAATCTGTTGAGCATTCAGAGAGTTCAAGTTATTTGCCCATCTTTTGATTAGGCTGTTGAGTTGTAGTACCATATAGTCCATGTACAGGTGTTTCTCTAATTATAGTTTGCAGATGTTTTCTCTCAGTCTGTGTCTTTCATTTTCTTAATGATGTCTTCAGAAGGGCAAAAGTTTGTAACATCCAATTTATCACAAAAACTTCTGAGAAGTTTGTGTCTGACTTTGAATCAGGAAAATTGGTCTGTTTCATGAATTTTATTATTTTTTCCTCATTTAGATTTTTAATCTGTCGTAAGTTCATTTTTGTGTATGGTGTCTGATTTTTTTTCTCTTCAACTCCTGGATGTTTATTTACTCATTATTTTACACCCAATTGTAATTGTTTTTTGTTGTTGTTGTTTTTGTCGGTGGAGGTTTTTTTTTTAACTTTTTAATTTTTTTGTTTGTTTTTGTTTTTTTGAGGCTGTGTTTCTCTGTGTATCTCTGACTGTTCTGGAACTCACTTTGTAGACCAGGCTGGCCTCAAACTCTGAGATCTGCCTGCTTTCTGAGTGCTGGGATTAAAAGTGTGTGCCACCACTGCCTGGTGTAATCGTTATCTTGATGCTCCAATATTCTAATTAGAATGGTTTCTGGACATTTATCCTGTTTGGATCTTCAGCATTTCTGCTGTGTTCCCGTGTTGATCTCCCTCTCTGACGGACAGCACTTGTTCTTTTTGTCAGACTGACTAATGCAGCTGCTTATCTGTCTCTCCTGAGGTCACAGCACTAACTTTCTTAGAATAAACAGTGTTTATTATGAGTCTCAGAAAATACTGATATCTATATCAGTGTACAGTTTGTTTTCTTCTATGTGTCTGCTTCTGGTTTTTTACTTAAAGGAGGAATTGTAATTTAATGATGTTTAAATAATAGCTCTCATTCCAGCATTATCAGATGTGATCTCTAAACCTGTTATGGTATCACATGCATTTTATTAGGGTCTACAAAATCATGTCTTTTCTCATTTCTCATTCTTTCCCTATATTAGTGGTGTTCTGTGACCTAAGGTCACTTAGCTAGATGAGAAACAGTAGAATCATCAAAGGATGAAGGTGTTAGGCAGAAAAAAAAAATGCTATCTAAATTCTTTAGACTAAGGTAAAGTCATTTTCTGTTTCCCACTCCTCCCTTATTTTCTTGTAGTTTGGAATGGTCAGCTGTCATTGTAGATGAAGCTCATAGAATCAAGAATCCAAAAGCACGAGTTACACAAGTCATGAAGGCTCTAAAGTGCAAGGTCCGCATTGGCCTCACTGGCACCGTCCTTCAGAACAACATGAAGGAGCTGTGGTGTGTTATGGACTGGTGAGTAAAATACTTAGACATTTTCTGGGCCTGTGTTTAGCTGAATATTACCTTGTTTTCTGATTACTAGTCCTTAAATCACAGCTCCTCCCCCAGAAAACTGATCACTTAACTGTTTACAGAAATATCCAATCCTGAGCATGTCTCAAGTAGGAAGTCCTGTGAAAAGTCTTAGTGATGGGGATGTCCTTCTGTATGCTGTGAATATATGTCTCTCTTATTGGTTGATGAACAACACTGTTGCGGCCAATAGACAGGCAGGATGTAGCCAGGCAGGAAGTATAGGCTGGGAAGAGGCATGCAGATAGTGAGTCAACGAGGGAGACACCGAGTAGCTACCTGGAAGGTAGGACACCTGGACATTCTCCAGTGAGCCAAGACCATGTGGAGATACACAGATTAATAGAAATGGGTTAATAATTAAGAAACAGCGAGCCTATAAGAAGCCTGTCCATTGGCCAAAACAGCTTTATTCATCAACCAATAAGAGAAATGTATATTCACAGCATACAGGACATCCCCCATCATCTTAGCATCATCTTAGTCCCCAGAGAAAATAAATGCTGAATTACCAGTTCCGTCATTTTCAATTATAAACAGTCACAAAGAAGGGATACTGTTTTCCTGGCTCTTGTTTTGTTGTCATTAATAAGTAAGCCACTGAATATATTCCTAACAAGCAAAAGAATTGAACGCTTTTTTTTTTTTTTTTAAGATACTTTAGTAACTTTGTTACATTTTTCTTATTGCCTTTATACAGGGCTGTGCCAGGGCTTTTAGGTAGCAAGAGCTACTTCAAGAAGCAGTTTTCTGACCCAGTGGAACATGGCCAGAGACACACAGCAACAAAAAGAGAGCTTGCTACTGGCCGAAAAGCTATGCACAGGCTTGCAAAAAAGATGTCTGGCTGTTTTCTCAGGCGCACCAAGACCCTTATCAAGGGTCAGCTGCCTAAGAAAGAAGACCGGGTGAGAACTGCATTTGTTTGTATCACATTTTTTTTTTCCTAAAAAGCATTTATTTTTAGGATTCCCTTTGTGGAATAAGTTTGTTACATGTGGGATTTCAGAAAACATCAACTGAGCTCAGTTTTATTTCTTTCCTTATTTTACTGACCTGCTAGCTAGTATGCCTGTAATTAGTACGTGTGTCAGATAGCTTTCTACCGCCATGATATAACTGGAGATAAGTCACTGTAAAAGAAGGAAAGATCTATTTTGGTTTCATAGGTTCTTTAGACCTGTGGCCTGTGGGAGAATATGGTGGAGCAAGCTTTTTTTCTCACAGTGGTGAGAAGAAAAAAGACAGGGTGTGTAGGGGTGGTGGGGTGAGGGGGGTGGACAGGAACACAATACCCCCTTCAGGGACACAGTCTCAGTGACATAGGTTCCTTCTAAAGGCTCCATGTGCCAAAGACCAGTGAGCTGGGTGTTGGCTGGTGGGCTGTGGGGGCCTTTGGGTCCAAGCCGAGACAGTGTGTGTCTAGTGCACACCTTACATCAGGTATCATGACGCACTCCTTTAATACCAGCACCAAAACACAGAGGCAGGTGAATGTCTGAGTTCAGTCCAGCCTGGTCAACATAGTGAGTTCTAGGCCAGTGAGGTCTACACAGTGAAACACTATCAATAAAACAAACAAAAAAACAAAAAAACCCCAGACCAAACCCTCATGTCTTATCAAGGCTGTTGCTTCAGCTCTTCCTTAAGGAGTTGTGGACAGCTTCCTTTTGTAATGATAGTTTCCTTCTCAATTACTACTGTTCAGTGTGCTCTGTGGCATCTGAATTCTAGTTATAGGACTAAATTTGTTTAGCACGTTTTTTCCCCCCCAGGTTGGCTTTGTGTGGAATGCTGTTTGTAGTTATGCTACTAATCTAATTTTTAACTTGTAAGAAAATAGCATTGTTACTGTTTAAGAAAATTGGAGTTGTCTAGGATTTTACATTTTTCACTGATTGTTTAACCTTATGATTCCTAGCTCGCAGTAGAATAAAGATTCTGTAAATTACTACAAGCTAAATCTAACTCATACTGTCTTCATTGCAGGTGATGATATCAAATGTGCTGTAATTTTAGGGTACCTTGTAAAGATAAATTTGGGTACTGATATGGTGGTTGAGAAAATTGATGATAAGAGACTTGATAATTATCTAAAGCAAGTATTATTATGTTAGAGTACTTTATGAACCTCTGCTTTCCAAAATGTTGCATGCAGGGGTACGTATGTTCGTGTGTGTGTGTGTGTGTGTGTGTGTGTGTGTGTGTGTGTGTGTGTGTGTGTGTTTTATTTAATAGGAATAATACAAACAAAATATATCAAGAGAGAAGCTGTGCCTAGAGATTTAGAACTTGGGCTCTGACTCTCCCAGTTAAAAGGGTTTTTTGTTGTTGTTGTTTTTTGTTTTTCTTGTTTTTCAGTTGAACAACTTAACTGAGGTTCTCAGACCAGTGTTGTTTGTTAAGGAACCAATGATAGCAGGCTTCACATGATTGCTCTGAAATTCGTGACACATAAGAAACACTTAGTAACTGTTAGTGTTGAATACTAATATATTCTTTATATCGTAGTCAGCTACTGTCATCTTCTATGTCTTCCTGCTCTTCTTATGTGCTTTTATATTCAAGACTGAGTAATAAGGAGTAATTATATTCTACAGACATACTTTTAAAATTCTAGCATTGTTTTTAAAGACATTCCTGTATTTGCTGAATGTATATTTTTTTGTAATACTATGCCATTGTAGTTATAAAAATGCTTAAAAATAGGTATCTGTTCCTTTTTATTCATTCTTTATGCCCCATTATGGATAAATTTGGTTTTATGACACTGGTTTCATACTTATCTAGAAGCATTTTACTAATTTCTAGTACTGCCTGAAGTAGATGGGAAGTTATGTTCCTTATAACTTGGTGCATTTTGTTCTGTCCTTGAATTTTGACATAAAATAGCAACTCATGTTTGCTTTTGCACATATTTCTTATCTTTACTAGTTTTAGGAATTTATAGCAGGATACTGAATATAAGTAAAGTACCATGAAATTTTTAATGTTTTTGCAGTTTTTCAAGTATTTCCGTAGCATTTGCTATTTGTGCTATTGTTGTAAAGTCTTTCATTTTACTTTATCATAATTGGTTTGCATGATGGACTGATATATATTTCTAAGGAGATGCATGATATACTGAGAAATATATAATGAAGTCACATGATTTTTTAAATTTTTGCCTTTTAAGTAAAAACAAGAATAAATTATAAGGATTAATTAAAAGTGAGATGATAGTCTGTACAATATAAAATGAGGTGAGGAACAAGAATGAAACAGAATGGCGGAGTAATTGCCATAGACATAAGCACAGGTAGTTAGTGTAAGTGATTGTGCTGTTACCTTCATTAAATCTAGTGGGCATTGTGATGATTCTTCTCTTTGCTATAGAAATCCTACTAACTGCTTCTCCACTTTCTGCAGATGGTGTATTGTTCTTTGACAGAGTTCCAGAAAGCTGTGTATCAAACAGTGTTAGAGACAGAAGATGTGGCTTTGATCCTTCAGTCTTCTCAGCCTTGTACCTGTGGCAGTGGCCGGAAAAGGAGAAATTGCTGTTACAAGGCAAACATTTCCATTCATCTTCACCGTTTTGTTCTGGTTTCAATGAACCTACTTTCTTCTTTTTTTTTTCGTCCAGTTCCTAAATTTAAAAGTTACATGTTTTAAAAAAGTTATCAAGGGACCTGGGAGATGGCTTGGCGAGTAGAAGTCCTTGTGACACAAACCTGACAGGCTGAGTTCTGATTCTCAGAACCCACACAGACAGCATATGGTAGCAGGGTCTGTGATCCTAGCACTCCTGGCAAGATGGGGTTGCAAACAAGAAAATCCCTGGCAGCTTGTAGGCCAATTAGAGAGACCCTGCTTCAAAACAAGGTAGAAGGCAGGAACTGGCTCTTTAAAGTTACCCTCTGGTGTCCACTTGCTGCCCATGGCACCTGCATATCTGCATCACACACACACACACACACACACACGTAATTACAAGTTAATCAGAAATGCTTTATGACATCAAACCACAACATTATAAAATACAACATTCAAATAGCAATAAAACCTAATTTAGAAAGAAATTAAGCTTCAGTTTGGTATCTTCTCATTCTTGTCAGGAAATAGCCTCCTTCCATCTTAAAATTCCATTTTATTTTCACAAATTTTTCATCCACTGCTTTTCTGATGAAACACAACTCCTAGCCACAGTGTTTGTTTAATAGACTTGTGTTAGAAGAACAAAATGTTTTCTTAGAGACAAAAAGTTACTTCTTTTTCCATCTGCTATTTGTTTGTTTTTGTTTTCCCAGGCAGGGTTTCTCTGTGTAGCCCTGGCTGTCCTGGTACTCTCTCTGTAGACCAGGCTGACCTTGAACTCAGAGATCCGCCTGTCTCTGCCTCCCGAGTACTGGGATTAAAGGCGTGTGCCACCACTGCCCAGCTTTTTAAAAATTTCTTCTTATGTCACATATCTGTGATGATTATAGGGACCCAAGTATTTCTCTAGATTGCTTTTTATTCCATCTAATTGGTTATGCTCTTTTCAGTCATTTCTATTTTTGTAATACCACATATTTTTAGAAATCTTTCTAGCTTTGTTATCAGATTTAGGGGGCATACCCTGTTCCCAAAGTCAATCCAATTAACAGAAATTAAAAGTGAAAAGCAGAGAAAGGAGATTTATTAAGCACAACTATATTGGGAAGAAGGACAAAGATCCAGAAAATCCCTCAAGCCTATCTTCCCATTCCAGAAGTGATACCAGCATTTAAATAGAGGCCAAGGAGGTGCACATCCAAGTAGTGCCAGTCAAGGTGTGGTCTCTCCCACCACTGTCCCATCAGTGTCTGGGCTTCGGTCTATAAGGTGGTTTCATAAGTTTGTTAGAACGGTGTGAAATCTTTCTGGAAGTTCCCTCTCTGGTGCCTTTTCCTCCTCCCAGTGTGAGATTCCTAGGACTCCTGTTTTCTTGGGCTCCATTGTTTCTGATAGTCAGATGGAGAGACAAATGTCTCTTTAGAATGTCTTCAGTTCTGCTGGGCTACGCATAAGCAGAGAGTAATGTACTCTTTATAAGTCACACAAGACTATGTGTGACTACATCATAGTCTTGCTACCAGGACCTTCTTAATGGTAGCCTTCCTGTCACTGTTCCATTCCAGAATGGAGACTCCCCTTTTATTGAATATACATTACTATATTATATATTCTATATTATATACTATATTCATGAAGAGTGATTCTAGGTCTGTAATCCATGGATATTCTACCAAGCAGTTGGCCTTCACTGTCTTAGCTAATTAGACCATAAGTATTAGTGTTGTGTTTTATTATTAGTTACATAGCTATGTTATTAATGCTTTTCCTGTTTGTGTTTTCTGTTGTTTCTGTTACAGACTAATTCCCAGGGTGACAAAGTGAGAACTTTGTGTCTTAGTTACCTGACAGTGCTACAGAAAGTAGCTAACCATGTTGCACTGCTGCAGACTGCCAGCACCTCAAAACAACAGGTTGGGGTTGACTTTACATCTCTCTGTGATGCTATTGATATAAAACTGATACTGTACAGTGTTGTTGGCACAAAAAATATTTCTCCCATCTTAAAGGGAGTAAGAGATACTTTATTCTGGAGCCATTTCGGAGACCAGAGACTGGGAAGAGAGATTTAGATTATCCCAAGTTCCACATTTTAACGTGGAAGTGGTTTATGAAATGTTATGGCTCACTAAATAAAGAAAATCAGAAATTGAGGCGAGTTTTAATATAAATTAGTGGAGGAAGCTTTTTTTTTATAGGTCCAATATGCTAACTGATGACATTCTTAGCTTTTGGATTGGTAGAAACTAGGATCCCGGGTTATTTATCTATTAGTCACAGAACTTTAGGTCTGACACAGAGGCAGGCAAGGAATGGCTATCAGAGGGTGAGACTAAAACTCTAAGATAAGATAATTAACTTCTGAAGCTAGAACATTCCAATCTAGCCACAGTATTGCAGCTCCAATCAGTCACTCCCTGCAGACACAGTTCTTTCCAGGAGTTCTCCTTCACACTATCTTAGCTAAATACTCTTAAGTGTGTTTTAGGTAACCTTGAAGATGAATCTAACTTGCTTATTTTAAGATTTAGTAATTGAATAACAGAACCTGCTTAGCATGTGCAAGGCACTGAGCTCAATTTGCAGCATCAATACTAATAAATTTTAAAGTAACATTTATGTATCAAGGAACATGTGCATGTAAGTTTTAATCATGTTGAAAAAGCTTGATCTTAAAGAAATAGCTGTTTTATGTGTCTAATAGTGTTTATGTATTTGCCTTTAGCAGAGGCAGCAGATCTCTCAGTTCAAGGCCAGACTGGTCTACAAAGCAAGCTCCAGGACAGTCAGGGCTACACAGAGAAACCCTGTCTTGAAAAACAATAAAAACAACAAAAAAAAATTACTTAGATATTTGATAAATCAATTCCATGCAATAAGTCACATCAAAATATCTGCTAATATGTTTAATTATGTTCATCTATATGCTGCGTAAGTAGGTACATAATAATCTGTATATTTAATATTTAGGCTGTTTTCCAAACTGTCAAAAACCAATCCTCTCCAAGCTGAGACTTAAATAGGAGCATTTGCTTTGGTAACTGCAATTGTATCTTACTTTAGAGACAAGGTCAGTAAAGAGGTCTCACCATGATGTAAGGTTTTTTTTTTTTTTTGTTGTTTTTTTTTTTTTGTGTGTGTGTGTGTGTGTGTGTGTGTGTGTATGCTCCAGCTGGTGCTGTTTAAACTGATTTTGATACAGTAGTCTTTGACTGTATTACGTGTGTGTGTGTGTGTATGCTCCAGCTGGTGCTGTTTAAACTGATTTTGACATCCACTAAGAATTTGATACAGTAGTCTTTGACTGTATTATTCACTCCTCAGGGAATGTTTGTTTACTTGCTTTGGAAATCTTGAGAAAGTAATGATACAATGTCCACATCCATAGTGTCAAGAATTCATCAAAACCATATATATTTAACATACAGCTTTAAGATTTTCTGAATTATTAATTGGACTTACAGAAGGCAGATTACATTTGTTTCTCATAAATATATTTTTATAAACACTTTTATTTTTTGCACGTTTTAAATATGTATCAAAATTTCTTCTTCCTTCTCTCCAGGAAACACTTATCAAGAAGATATGTGATCAGGTATTTTCTAGATTCCCAGATTTTGTGCAGAAAAGCAAAGACGCAGCCTTTGAAACACTTTCTGACCCTAAATATAGTGGGAAAATGAAGGTATGTACTCTTCCTTCAGTTTGCAATTCATCCAGGGATGCTACACAAAGGATTTGATTGATGCAGATCAAGGACACCAGCTAATCAGGACAGTCTCCCAATCACAGAAGTAATGGAGATTATGAGCTCTACATATAAATCAGTGCACACAATGGGTTCTCAGTGGCAGTTGCATCAAATATACTTCAGCCTTTTCTTTACTAATCTATTGGACTTAAGAGCACTTAACACGTATGCTCTTAACACGTATGTGCAAAGACAAGGCCTCTATATCTACAATGGATTTTCTGCCTTCAATTTTTATTTGCTGATCTGGATAGTAAAATTGCAAGGGAATATTTGTCCTGCTCTGGGAAGCTGACCTATGGCTATAACAAATAATAAATGACCCAAAGACAGATATTGGGGTTCAAGCTGAGGGTCAGAAAAGCAAAGCACCCAGCTACTAGCTCTTCTCTCTACCTCAGGCTGAAAGGGCTGTCTTGTCCTCAGCATGGCTGGAAAATAAATCTCTGAGATTGACTTTGCTTCTTCCTTATACCTCTCTCTGCCCAGCCATATTATTCCTGTCTCCCTAGTGCTGGGATTAAAGGCGTGCAATCCCAAGAGCTGAGATCTCCTTTGTATGAGCTGTTTCTCTTTTAGACTGGATCAATTCAGCGTGTCCTGTACTAACAGAGATCAGTCTGCCTCTTCTGGAGTCCTAGGATTAAAAGTGTGTGCCACCACCATCTAGCTTCTATAGATAACTAGTGTGGCTTTGCATTCTGATACTTCAGGCAATCTTTATTAGATCATAAATAATACATCATCACATATGGGCATGTTGTTCTTGGTGCTGCATTACTAAAGGAGGGGTGTGGATAGTATGCCTAGGCTCTGTAGCCCTGACCTAGGTAGTCCTCTGGACATTCCCTGTCATGGTAGTGTGAACTGCAAAAAGGCAAGTTTGCTTGACCCTTCAGTAGCTATCAAGAATCCTCATTTATGGGTTCACAGATTTTTATAGAACAATTCCCAGCCTCACACTACAATTATACAGATGGTAAGGTATTTATTTCTTTTGGCAAAGGGAATACAAAGGAAGTAATTCAAAGTAGTCAATTAGTGTTTTATCTAGAAATGCTTTTAGCTGTTAATCTAGATAAGCTCAATGTAGTTTAGGTGCCTAGAACCTAGAAATTTAGTGAGACAAAGTAGGTGGAAATAGAAGTAGTAAAGAGGATTGCATTAAAAATTTATTTTAAAAAAATAGTTTGTACTCATGAGAATATCATGATTTATTCCAACAAGTAATAAAATATTACAATCTATTTTTATCTATTTTATTTATTAATTTTAAGATATAAGAGCCAAATTCATTTAGAGTTTTATTTTTAGAAATTATAATGTATAATTAAGATAATGATTAATCTCATTTTTATTCTGATTTTGGTTGTTGGAAGTTGGAATCTTGGTTTGTATGAAAAGCAGTTGATTTGCAGCATCTTACAGATTGCTAGTCAAACAGGTCTTGACAGTGATAAGCTGGAGACATGTACTGTAGGACTGTTTGTTTCTTATCATGTACTAAGCAGTATTACCTGTGACATACTGGTTTGTGATATATAACCTTACCACATAATTATTGGCTATGAGGTTAAGAACTTCAAGTCATTGAGGTGTGCATCATTTGTGAATTCAGACTTGTGAATTCTCTTGCTAAGAGATTGAGAAAGACCAAGGAGCCCAGCTCAGTGCTCCGAGACCAAAGGGCACCATGTTCATCTTTCTAGGCCAGTTTAACTAATTTAAGAAACTTGCATCCAAACATTTCTGTGCTGTGAATACTCTCAAATTCATAGGTAGATTGTCCTATTCTGTAGAGGCCAAGTAAAGATCTATATTATTAAAACTTCAACATATTGTGATGGTATTGTCATTTTTGGTAAAAGCCTTTAATTTATGGTTATTCATTTAATGAGCTTTTTCTTTAACTTAGCCTAATGAAGATCTGCAGCCAGGAAAAAAAACATTTCTCTTCCTACTACTTATTTCTGCTTTTGCTTTTAAATACCCAGATTACAACAGATCTGAAGCCATGTCCAGTGACATGAGTAGATTTCTGTTCAGCATATTTCTGGTTTAATACATTAGGATCTTCTAGAGGAATGAAAAGATAAGCCACAGACCAGAATATCTTTACAATATAATGTAGGGTTGATATCCAAAGTATACAGAGAACTCTTAAAACTCAGTAGTAGAAATTAAGTAATCTAGCTTTAAAATGGGCAAAAGATCTGGAAAGATACCTTACTAAAAAAGAAGGGCAGATGGCAAAGAAACACAAGGGTTATATAACTGCAAAAATAAAACAAGGGGTACCACTGCACAGCTATTAAGGTAGCAAAGTCCAGACAGACCACTTGTGAACGGATGTTTCTTTCCCACCTGCCAGTTTCCAGATTACCACACAGAGACCTATATTAATTGCTTGGTCGATAGCGAAGGCTTGTTACTAACTAGGTTTTACATTTAAATTAATTCAGATTCCTTATGTATGCTATTTATGCTCTGCCGTATGGCGGTACCTTTATTAGTCACTCCTCTGACTCTGTCCTTCCTTTCCCATCACCCTTAGTTTGGTCGCCTCACTGTGCTTCCTGGCTGGCTCCTGGCCAATCCGCATCTTATTAAACCAATTCGAGTGACAGATCTTTACAGTGTACAAGAGGATTATTCCACAGCAACCACCAGCATAGGTGAAATTGCAGAATGAGTTGCTCACTCTAGAAAATAGTTTGGTGACTTTGGCCAAGCTTTCACTTTGGGTAATGTTAAATGCATAGCACTTAAAATGTGTTTGATATTTAAAATAGGAAAATGAAGGGCTGGAGAGATGGCTCAGGGGTTAAGAGCACTGACTGCTCTTCCAGAGGACCCAGGTTCAATTTCCAGCACCCACATGGCAACTAACCACTGTCTGTAACTACAAGTCTGACACCCTCACACAGACATACATGCCCTCAAGACACCAATGCAAATAAAATAAAAGTAAATAAATTAAAATAGGAGAATGAAATATTCTTGCCATACTATCTATTAGTCGAATTCCTTGTTATTTATCTAAGAATTAGATTTAGTGAATTTTACTGTTTAAACACAACAACCCCACCTAAATTTATTCATAATTTTCAAAGCTTGGAAGAAATCAAGATGTCCTTCAAAAGGCAAATGGATAAACTGTGGTGCAGCCATAGAATGGCATAGTTTTTAACAATAAAAATTGAGTGAGACATGGTGGTACATGCTTTTAATCCCTTCACGCTGGATGCAGAGGCAGGTGGATCTAGTTAAGTTCAAGGACATAGCAAATTTCAGGCCAGCCAGGGCTACACATTGAGAGAAGCTCTCAAAAAAGAAAAAAAGAAAAAAATTGAACCCTTGGAGAACTCTTAAATGTACATTGCTAAATTAAAGAGGCTAGTCTGAAAAAAGACTACATGCTGTGTGACTTCATCTGTGTTACCCTCTGGAAAAGGAAAAACTCCAGAGACAGCAAAAGGATTAGGGGTCCTGGGGGATCAAATACCAGGAGTAGGTAAAATACCAGGGGCTTTTAACCAGTGACACTATTTTATATGATGTTGTAATAAGAAACCATGTCATGATACACTCATCAGAATTCAGAACTGTAAACAAATGAGCCAACACTAATGCAAACTGGACTTCTGTTCATAATGGGCCAGTATTCTTAATCAGTTTCACAGATACCTCTTGAATAATAATGATAATAATATTTTAATAATATTAGCTTTATATAGATGTTAATAGCAGGTATTTGGGGGGATATATAGCTCAGAAGTAGAGTGTTTGCTTAGCATGCACAAGGCCATGGATTAATCCCCAGTATTGCAAAAAGAAAGATGAGGAATAGAATGTGGGAGCTTTCTACACTTATACTTAGTTCTGAAAACCTAAAAAAGTGACTTGTATCAATTAAAAACATTAGTTTTATGTAAAATTCAAATACATGTCCTTCACAAAGTCAATTATTTCACTTAAAAGTAAAACTAAATGCAAATAAAACTTTCTATGTTGTCAGATATTAAAGTAATATTTCCCCAGGCTGTGACATTTTTACTCACCATCTGAGTAGATTTTAAAAGGCAACCTCCATAGCATGTTTTTTTTCAAAGATTAAAGGTAAGACTCAAATTTATAATAAAGTCCTTATTAGATAAACTATTGAAAGGTTGAGTATAATTTTTTTCTTTAGATGTTTATCATCAAATAAATAACATTGTTTCTTTCATAGTCCATTAAAACTTGGTACAGAAAATTCCTCTCTCCTCTGAGGATTGGCTTCCATGGTGTGCTGTCTTCCCAGATATGGGAATGTCTGCTTAAAAACAGAAGGTTCTGCTTTGTGCAGTCTTTGGACTGTTGCTTCCTCTCCAAAGACCTGAGTATAAGGGCAGATTATTAGTACTTTGAGGTCAAAATCCAATCTGGAAGTTGGGGTTTACTTTAAATAAACAAAGGGGAGAAAATAAGAAGACGTGTGTATCTTAGAGAATAAATATCAGGTCTTTCAGAACCTACGCAGACACAACTGAGAGCATTGTATTTTGTCTGCCGAAGGCTGTTTTTTACTAAAAGGTGTGCTTTGCTCATTCAGCTTCTTAACATACAGGTATAAAAATGAATTCTAGAAATTAAATTAACCCATCATCTAAAATGCTTCTTTTTATCAAAAACAGATGAGATGAAATAGGCTTGGGAACTTTACCTCCTTCCTGACAACAGGATGATGAATAGCATTTGATGTGATAATTTGATGTGATAACAAATATTGTGTTTGTTAACTTGGAATATATAAAGGAAAATAGCAGAGATAACTGAGGCTAGTGTTGGGTAGAACACTTTTTCAGGAACTCTCCAGTGCTGTCTGTCTGTGTAAAGTGTGCCTGTAGTTGGCACTAGTCCCTGATGCCCTGTGTTCCTTCCCAGGTTCTCCAGCAGCTTCTAAATCATTTTCGGAAACACAGAGATAAGGTTCTTCTCTTCTCCTTTTCCACCAAGGTGAGTTCCATCCAGAATGTTCTGACTTGGTCAGTCTGGGTCTCTAGGCACTGAGCACAAGGAAGTAGCAGATTACTGTCGTGTTCTCCTCATCCACACAGCAAAATTGTGGTGAGAGAAGCAACTCAGACCTTTCCAGCATACTCAGTTACTTGTGGAACTTAGATACGGGTGCTACCATCCTATCAAACTCAAAGGTAAAGTAGTATTTTCTGCAGATGTTCTTTTGAGAGATTTAGGGTATTTTGAAGTTTAGAAAATGACATAAATGTTTACATAAATTATTTGACCAATTTTTTTTACATTTATATACATTTGGTTTTAGTTTAGTTTTTTTTTTAAGAAAGACATATTAAAAAGAAAAGATTGTCTATTTCGGCATAATGGAAAGAAATGCATGGATTAAAAGTGAGAAAAGTATTTTTTTTTTTTTTGGTCCTGGAAATAGAGCCTGGGCCTGGCATATATGAGGAAATCACTCTCTCACGATTGCACCCAGGACCCCCGTATCAATTGCTCATTAATTGAAGAAAGAAATTGTGTGCCCAGTGGTCAGTGCTCACCAGATGTAGCCTCACTGATTGGTTAAAGCCTGTGACTGAAGACTTTGTGTCTTCCCTGCTTCCCTCCAGCTGCTTGACGTGCTGCAGCAATACTGTATGGCTTCTGGCCTCGATTACCGGCGACTTGATGGAAGCACAAAATCAGAGGAAAGACTCAAGATTGTGAAAGAGTTCAACAGTACAAAAGATGTGAACATTTGTCTTGTCTCCACGATGTAAGAAAATAAACCTTGATAGCTTTATTTTTATCTGGTTGTTTTTTAAACTATTTTGGGATTAATTTTCAACAAGTAGGCTTATGTTGCTTTGTTTTATTTGACTTTAAGAAGCAGTAAAAACATTATCAGTTGTAGCTAGACTAGCAGTATCTTGAATTTTACTAATCTTTTATTACCTTATCACTCTGGAATTACTCTTGTAAGGACTGGCTTAAAAGATAAGAATGAAAACACAAACCTTGACTCCCAGGAATTCCTGGATAGTGTTCGTGTCTTAGGGTCAGTACTGTTGGACTTTTTACTTGGCACTTGGCATTGCTGCCTTCTCCTTGTCCCAACTGGAGCTGCTCCTGGGATTTTACAAGGGATAAATTTGTTCTAGCACCTATTTAATGAATCTCTAATTAGAACCTTGTAAAGAAAATGTACTCTTTCAAAAAGATTTCAATCAATAGAAATACCTAAGGAAGATACTTGGGAGAATAATAAATACTTTAGCATTCTGTGTGGGAATTTTAAGGTTTGTTCTCACTTTTTTTTTTTTTTTTTGAAAAAGAGAATCAGAGGACTTTAGAAATAAAATGTGAGATGCAAAAGTAGAACTCAAACTGAGTACTGAGGTGAGGAGTGGAGCTGCAGTGGTGTGACTGTGGCCTGAGCAGTTCTGCTGGATTCCTGCAGTAACTGAGAAAAGGAGAGAAGCTTCTGAACTTCATTTGATGATGTCAGACATTTCTCATCTAAGTCCAAAGCTTTAAGTACTGCCTTCAGCTAAGTTCTGTTATGCACCTCAGCCTTCTTAACTTCTGACATGTGTCAAACACACTGAATGGAGGTTCCAGCAGTACAGAGACCCTCGTGACCACCTCAGGTCCGGTTTTCTGCTAACAGCTCTGGTCTCAGTCACTGCATACCTGACACATTGTATTCCTAATGTCTAAGGAAAAACTTTCATTTTTAGAAATCCCATTAGAGCTGTACAAACCTACCTTATTTAATTTGTTCTCTGTAATTTCTAGTCTTTTAATTCTATAGTAATTTTAATCACCATGTATGTATGTATTTGTTATTGTTGGGGCACTCATCTGGAGGTAAAAGAGCACCTTCATAGAGTCAGTCCTTTCCTTTCCTACTGTGATGTAGGATAGAGCAGGGGTTCTCAACCTTCCTAGTGCTTGACCCCTTAATACAGTTCCTCATGTTGTCTCGACCCCATCCATAAAATTATTTTTGCTGCTACTTCATAACTGTAAATTTTGTTACTGTTGTGTACTGTAATGTAAATATCTATTTTCTGTGAAAAGGTCATTCTGACCAACAGGGTGAAACCTATGGATTAGGGGATCAGACTCATGTTCCAAGGCTTATGTGGCAAGTGCCTTTACCTGCTGAGCCATCTTGCTGATCCTAATTTTTTTTTTTAAGACTGTCTGGCCTGATGTGGACCATGTTGATCTTGAACCTGCTTCTGCCTCCCACATGCTGGGATTAAAGACAAGCACCACCACACCCAGCCCCTAAAGTCTTTTTATTAGTGGTATTTTACTGTATTCAGTTTTGTACGTGGGGATGCTTATCATCAGGCTGTTTCTTCAGGCTCTTGCTTCTGGTACATGGTTTCTTCACATACTTTTATAGGTTTTCATTTTGTTCTCTTGGTGGAAATACTTTGGAGACCAGTTGTTCTCCACTTGTGTGGTTTCCCTGTGCGGTTTCTTCTGTTAACTGTCCCAAACACGGCAAAAGTCATGTGCGACTGAATTCAAGAAGTAATTTTTGGCATAAGCCATTAAATAAAGACCTTTGCCTCCTGTTAACTACTTTGTTGGGACTATTACTGTTTTTAACTCCTGCAGAGCTAACTAGATTAGTATCCATAGGTTAGCTTTAAAATTTGGAGATCAAAACCCAGCAACTTGCATTGTGATTTTCTGAACATTGTTTATTGTTAGATTAAGTAGAACTAAACTAACTTCTGTTTTTGTTACCTTTCAACCAGTTCAAGGAATATAACCAAACAGCGGCGAAATAAGCTCTCCGTTCTAATACTGGGTCCAATGTTTTATGTGTGCACCATTGAGTTCACTTTGTATTTCAGTCATGACCTGTTTGTCCCATTTTCTCCTCTATCAGTTTTTCCTCCTTTTCTCTTTTGCTGAGTCCTCTGTATTCTCAAGATTTTCTGCTAGCAATCTTTGATCTCCTCATCTCAAACTCAGCATTTTGTCTTTTAGACCTAGTAACACTGTCATGTTAAGCCTTCTTCCCTACATCATTGCAGTGGATCCTTTACTTGTATCCCATAGCACCCCATTATCATCTTGAAGTTTTCTCAAGTAACTTTGTAAGCCAAGATGTACGGAAAGTAATTTTTTGCAGCCTTGAATTCAGAAAATGTCATTTATTTGCCTTCCCCTTTGAATTTATACTTTAGCCAACTCTAGAAATCTAGACTGGAAATAATTTCCTTTCAAGTCTTTGAAGGCCTTACAGTATTGTTGCTTGGTATTTAGTGTCATTAAATGTCACTCTGACTCTCCATCCTCTTGGGGATGTCTGCTGAAATTTAACTGTGACATTTGAGTCACAAGACTTTGGGTCTTGGTTGTTTGTTGTGCCACAGCCCGAAAGGATGTCTTCTCCACCTCAGTGAAATGCTTTTCTATTGTATATTTTAAATGCCTTCCATTTCTTCCACTTTCTTCGTGGTTTCTGTTATGTTTTAAACTGCTGGTTCTCATCTTTCCCATTGCTGTGACCCCTTAATACAGTTCCTCATACTATGGTGACCCCCAACCGTAAAGTTCTCTCATTGCTACTTCATAACTGTAATTTTGCTACTAGTATTAATCATAATGTAAATATCTGATATGCAGGATGTCTGATATGTGACCTCCAAGGAGGGTTGCAACCCACAGGTTGACAACCACTGGTTTAGACGATGTGTGCTTTGTTGGCTGGCCTTAAGTTTGGTGTCCTCTTGCTTTCCCAGTTTTGTAGTTGAACCTCATACATTCTTTACATCAGATATTTCACATTTTGTACTACTTGTTCTGAATCTGTGAGATTCTTGTAGATTCAATCTTGTAGATTATTTTATTTGAAGAAACCACATTTTGATCTGAATTTTTTTGTGCTTTCCAAACTCATTTTTCTCTTAAGTCTTCTCTCCCCCTAGAATATCATCAGTACCTTAACTCTTAGATTTTCATAAATGCTCTTTAAAGTTGTTTAAAGAAAACTCAGCTGCCATTTTTTTTCAATTTCATAGACGAGTACTGAATTTACATCATCCCTCCCATCTGGGATTAGGGTTTTTCTGTTTTTTTTTTTGTTGTTGTTGTTGTTGTTGTTTTTGTTTTTTTAATTAAAATCATTGAGTTTACTAGTAGCCATGAGGGAAGTTGGCATCCTTATGATATCACCCTTTTTACCCATTAGTTTTCTTGGAAGCACTGTTAGTGGAGACTTCATTTGACCCTTTATTTTACTTAATGCATAATAGTAAAATGTATTTTCTTAAGAGATATAGTTAAAGTTGATGTATTCACTTAATACAAGAGTAGAATGTGGAAGACATTCTTAGACACAAATAGCCTGCATGGTCATGAGTCTCAAATAATAGTCCTTGGCCAGAAATGAACAAGCATATTCAGTTGCTTAAAGAATAAATCATTGTTATTAGCCATGTAATACCAAAGCAATAGATTTGCAAGTAGGCTTCTAAATTATATTATGTCAGAGAATCATCTCATCATCAGAAATATATAAGATTTTTTTTTCTAAAAGAGGCTTTGCCTCTGCTTTAACCAGCCAGGGGTCCTTTGTACTTTCAGTCTCTTAGAAGATTGCTCCCCTAATTGCAGAGGCCTTTTGGGGGCACAATGGGGCATCTAAGATGAGCCAATGTCTGATTTCTCCATCAAGAACCTACGTGGAGCAGTTGAAAAGGCTTAATAGACATAGACTATGCTTAGATGCTCATATAACTTCTCTCTCCATGTTCACCCTAACTTTTCCATGGTGGGATTTTATTGTTGTTGTCTTCTTTTCCAAAATTCTTTCCCTATGCAACCTTTGCCTCATAGGTTCAAGTCTGTGGGATTTGTTTAGTTAGTTGGTTGGTTTTTTTTTTTGTTTGCATAGGTTCAAGTCTGTGGGATTTGTTTAGTTAGTTGGTTGGTTTTTTTTGTTTGTTTGTTTTTTTTTTTTTTTGTTTTTTTCCGAGGCAGTGTTTCTCTGTGTAGTCCTGGCTATCCTAGCTTTGTAGACAGGCTGGCCTCAAACTCACAGAGACCCACTTTGCTCTGCCTCCTGAGTGATGGGATTAAAGGGGTAGGCCACCACCGCCCAGCTTCTCTGGAATCTTTTTGGTATCAGCTCTGGAAAGTAATTATAAAAAGACACTTGAGCACTGATATTTAACAGGATGCTTCAATTTGAATACAGACTCAAAGCTGCTTAGGAAACCTTTTGTCCCTACCTGAAAAGTGTTTGGCTCTTAAACTTTATCTTGAGGAAAGCCTGGCCTAGTGATGTACAGCTTTAATCCCAATACTTGGGAAGCAGAGGCAGGCAGGTCTCTGAGTTCAAGGCTAGCCTGATCTATATAGTGAGTTTCACAACAGCCATAGCTATACACTGAGACCCGTGTCAGGGGATGGGAAATGTATCTTGGGGATTACAGATATAAAAGTGTATAGCATGACTCCTTGTAGAGTCATGCATAGTTGATGTAAATTTCTTTCCATTTAATGTTTTAAGGAAGAGGATTATTACTAATTTTTGTCTTTGGATGATGAGCATCAGTGTGTGAATATCTGAGTGTAGGATGATGTTCCTGACACAGTGGGAAACTAGTGAGTGAAAGGCTTATGAGACAGGGTTAGGAAAACTAAAGACAAACTGTTTTCCTTGGATTTGAATTTTGCTGTTCCTTTTATTTTCAATTGGTTTTTAATTGTATAAGCTTTATTATTATAAAAAAATCTTACACAAAAATAAAAATATCACACATTAAAATTAACCAGACCCAAAGTCTGTAAAACTTAGTGTACTGCTATCCAGTTAGACAAGGCATTCGGAGCAGAAGCTGTAGAGCTTCACAATAAATTTTATACTTAAGTATCGAATATATTTTTTGCACTTAGCCACCATCAAAACCCAGATATCTATGACAGGACTAGAACTAGAAGAATAATTCTCTTTTTATCATCTCTCATGACTCGTACCCATCACCCGCACTTGTCTGTCTTTATCTCCTTATCTTTAGCCTTTCTTGTTCTCTTTTCTTCATGTTGCCCACAATTACATGTGATTACATATATTATTGGCCAGAATCTGTGTATGTTTTTTTTTCTTTCTCTGATTGTGTGACCTTCCTTAATAGTGCAAATCTATTTTCATGTAAATTTCTAAACTTCATTTCTCTTTAGAGCTGGAATACTCACCGTGTGTGTGTGTGTGTGTGTGTGTGTGTGTGTGTACGTGCGCGTGTGTGCACACATGCATGTGCGTGTGACTCTTACTTTTAAAATGTATACAGTTTTATCACTGTTGTAAATTAGCTGTTAAAAAAAGGGAATGCAAGACTAAAAATTTTACAACATGGAAAGGTCGTAACCACTGTTTCATAAAGTTTGCTCATGTGAGTGTAGTGAATATGTAGATGTCCTGGATTGAGTTTTAAATTTATGAGCCAAGATCCTGTGGGACCAGTGATTGGGTTTATTGGACAAATATTTCTGTAACTTCTACTTGTCAAAGTTACATACTAAAGATGAAGAATATACTAAAATTATTTTAATTATATTTGAAAACCCTATAGACATGGTATTTGGGTATGTAAAAATTATAAAACCCAGCATATCACATGGATTTCTATCAATCTGTCTATATAGATTGAAATGGTCAATTTGTTTAGGACTTTTCTTTGACCATATCATAGATTGTAAAAGGGAGTTCGTAATTGGTCTGAATAGTAAAAACTGGGACTCAGATATAGAGGAAAATGCAGAGACATCAGAGAGAAGAAGGAACAAACCATGGCCATACCTTACCTCCTTAGTGTCTCAGCGTACAAGAGAGCAGAGTTCCTGTTTCTTCCCCCTTATATCCTCTCTTGGCTCGGCCATCTCACTTCCTGTCTGTCTGTACAGACCTCCAGAACTCTATGGTTAGCTAGTGGCAAACACCATTCTCTGATCTTCAGACAGGCTTTATTTGTACAAGCAAGATATCACCACAATAGATATATAAGCATATTTCTGTTTAGGTCACTTTTATATAAAAGATGGCAATACTATTATATTGGCAGCAGAAGGAGGATACAGTGATTTGTTCAATTCTGGATGGTGGGGTGGTCTGAGAAAGGGTCTTAAACAGTCTAAACTGACCTAGAACTTTCGACTCCTACTTCTGCCTCCTGAGTGATGAGATTAAAATGTACACAACCATTCCTCTTAACAGTTTATGCTGTTTTAATACGCTATTTTCTTTCCAGGGCTGGTGGACTAGGTCTCAATTTTGTTGGTGCCAACGTTGTTATATTATTTGATCCAACTTGGAATCCAGCCAATGATCTTCAAGCTATTGACAGGTATGATTTTGATAAAATGTAAATGACCTGTGAATTCTTATAATCTGAAACCACTCCTGAACTTTATACATTGATTATAGTTAGATAAGGTGGGTACCTCGTGAAAATTGGTATTAAAAAATGACCCTAAACTTTTAAATTCAAATAGCAGGCTGATAGTAGCTATTTGTTTTCTACCTCCAAATCCTATTTATGTGAATAAGACCATAATACCAAAGAAAAATAGGACAACTTATTACTGGTAGTTCAGAAATTTTGAGAAAACTCCAAAGAGAGACTCACCAGAGAGAAACCACAGTCAGAGTCTGCAGAACAGAACAAGCTGCCAGCATGAATTGACAACTTGTAGGACAAGATGAGGGTGGTAGTCCTGAGAAACTAGTAGAGTAACATGAGACCGATGCAGACTCCTTTCTATTCCTCATCCTTACAACAGGAGTTGTCTCGGGTGAGTTCCTTAAAGAGCCATTTCATAAGTTAAGTAGGAAACCAAAATTGGAAAAGTTCTTGGTGTGTTAAAATTAGATCACAAAGTGGAACCAATCAACAATCCCACATCTCCGTAGTACACAATAAAGGAAGTAATTGAATAAACCTATTGCCTGCATAGGAATCCATATAATACAATAAGAAAATACACATATAGTGAGCAAAAATATGTTCTCAGAAATTAAAGCCTTTGCTGAGATAAAGCTCATTAGCAGGTCTGAATAGTAGAGAGAGCAATGTGATATAAACAATGTATATTTTAAAACAGTGAAATCAAATAGAGGCTGAATATGAATATAGAGAAAGGAAAGCACACCCCCCCAAACATCATCTGTTTGTTCCAGAAATAAAAGTAGAAGACTGAAGGACAGGGGAGAGAATTAACAATGTATCTTGTTAATTTTGAGGAGCTTCCAAACAGTACAAAAATTGGCCAAGAGGGAGATGAAATCTATATCTTTGTTATATATCTAATTCTGAAGATAAAGAGGACTAAAGTACCCCAACGTGAGAAATAAGAGGATTTATAAAAACAAAACCCAAAAGAAAAATCAAGTTAGCAATAAATGGGATTCAGCTTCATTTCTTCAGGTCAGACTTTTCGTCTATGGCTGCAGTTATGATCTTATGAGAAAGAAAACCACTTTGACTTGTGGTTGTGATCAGTGACTGACACATTAGTATGTAAGGCAAGATTAAAATTAAAAGCAACCTAACACCTGAGAACTCAGGAGTGTACTGCTGTACCACGAGAGCAGTGCTCAAGCCAACAAACAGATCAGAGATGGCCAAAGATGATTCTGTGTATATAGTCAGAGCTAAATGTTATTGGCAGTGTATCTAAGAGGATTCATACAGTTAGAAAGGAAAAATTCTCCTAAATACTAAAGGATGTTATAAAAATATCAGTAGGTTAAGAATTGAAACTCCATGTAATTTTAGTAAGTTACCAGGATTATTCAGGAAGACAGCATTACTAGAATTTTTCTTTCCTTTTAAGAAACAATATTCTGATCAGTTCTTAAAATCTGTAACAATGACATTTTTAAATGCTAGAAAAATTAAGGGGCATCAACTATAAGTACAAGACATAGTGATCACTTGCTACCCTTTGAAAACACGAATGACTAGTCCTCACTTCTACACATTCTGCTTCTGCAGATGGAGTAAAACTACAGCATCGGTTCCCAATCTGTATGTCACAACCCCTTTGGGACTAGAATGACCCTTTTACAGGGGTCGCCTGAGACTAACAGAAAAACAAATAATTTACAGTATGATTCGTAACAGTAGCAAAATTAGAGTTATGAAGGAGCAATGAAAATTTTATGATTGGGCCACCACAATGTGAGAAACTCTATTAAAGGGTCTCAGCATTAGGAAGATTGAGAACCACTACTCTAGGTTTCATTATTTTATTTGATATGTGCTTGTATATCTGTGTGAGTATGTGTACTTGTGAGTGTGTATATATTTGAATAGGTTAGGACTCTCAAAGAAAAAAGGCATGGTGATACAATGGAAAAGTTAGATTCAGGTATATACTTATTATGAGACATATATGCAAAATAATAAAGATATGGAAGGCTAAAAATAAAAGTTATGAAGTAGGAGGCTCCAGAGAGATGGCTTAGTAGTAAAGAGTGTGTACTGCCATTGCAGGAAGCCAGGTTCAACAACAGGCCATGTTTTTCCCTTCATCTAGAAACATACATTATTTTTCATTTCATTTTATTTTTTTCCAGTTCTTGGTATTGCAAGACTTTGCACATGCTAGGCAAGTGTTTTACCACTAAGCTACATCCCATGATCAGTTTTTAAATACTGTACAAATGTTTAAAAATACTGGAAGTATTTTATGATGTTCTGAAGTTATAGTGGGAAAATACAGCCTATTCAAAGTAATAGCAAATCAATCTCCAGACATGTTCCTTAAAGATAGACAGTGAACATACAAAACAGACTTTAAAATAACCACCTTAAGTTCTCTAAAAACTGAAAGAATACACAGAAGATACTAGAAAATACTGGTGGACAAAATGAGAGTATCAATAGTAATAATAACTATGAGAAAAAAAAATACACATATTGTGGACCTGCCATTCAATTCTGGAATTAAAAAACTCACTAGACTTCACCCTAACTTAAACAGAATGAGGTTAAAGAATCTGTGAACTTGAAGTCAGATTGCTCGAAGAAACAAAGCCTAAAAGAAACTCATTTAAAAAGAAGTGAAAATAATTTTCACCAGAGAGACATATTTTCCTTTACTGCTCTTCTCTTTTCTCCTCCTTCCCATCACTTTGCACTTTATGGAATTCTCAGCAGAGAAACAAAAAACGGAAATAATTACTGAAAAGCTTCCTGTGTTTGGAGGGAAATACAAGAAAGAAGAAATTCCATGTTGAGATAATTCCAAAGAGACCCACACCAAGACTTTTTCAAGTTGTTAGCAGATAAAAAACAAAGAGAAAGTCCTAAAAGCAGCAGGATAAAACTGTACAGCATGTGGAACTGATCTCCAACAGGCTCATTAGTAGTTATCTCAGCACAAACCTGGCAGATCTGAAAGCTGGGCACTGACATATTTAAAATGTGTGTGTGTGTGTGTGTGTGTGTGTGTGTGTGTGTATGCATATGCATATATACATATACAGACACATACACACACACACCAGTAAATAAAAATTAAGCAATCTGTCAGCTGAGAAACAATGAAAAAAATACACAGATTTAGAATTTACTATTGAACAAAATAATCACTAGCAAAGGAGAATTAAGGTCATTCTAACACAAACAAAAGTGAACAGTTCTTTCATTCTAGTGCTCACTAGAAAAAAATTCTAAAGGTAAAACTTTAAGATGAAATGAAAAGACAACAGACAGTAGCTTGAAGCCTTATGAAAGTAAAGTTTACCAGTCTAGGCAAATACATGGGCAAGTACAAATATCAATAGAATTTAAGTGTTTATTTTCATCAGGATTCAAAAGGAAGATGCATAAAATGTCTATGAATCTGTGCATTTGTAATATATAAAGATGTAATTTATAACATGTATATGTGTTGTTTTTATTTTATTTTTTATTTTTTTTAGCTTATATATATGTATATATTTATATTTATATAAAAAGAGCAATAATGGCAATATGTTATGCATCAATAGCAGCAACAGCTTTTCCAGGTTCTGTAGTCCTTTGAACAAAATTGTAGAGACATCCAGCACACTCCATTTTTAAAAAAACAAAAACAAAAAACAAACAAACAACAAAAGAGTAAAAAACAAAATCCCAGAAGACAGCACAGTTGGCATCATTTTTTTTTTTTATTAGTTTCTCAGTCATCATCTGGGAGGAAACCATTCTGAGCAACATCATTAAAAACAGCTCTGATAAAGCATGGTCACTACTATGTATCATAAAGCAGGTCCACATCTGAGTGAGTACATATCATGTTTGTCTTTTTGTGATTGGGTTACCTCGCTCAGAATGGTTTCTTCGAGTCCCATCCATTTTCCTGCAAATTTCAAGATTCCATTGTTTTTTTCTGCTGAGTAGTACTCCATTGTGTAAATGTACCACAATTTCTCTATCCATTCTTCAGTTGAGGGGCATCTAGCCTGCTTCCAGTTTCTGGCTATTACAAATAATGCTGCTAGTATATGTGTTTTATATATATATAAACAACAGAGGAAAGGAATCATAACGTGTCACTAAAAGTAAAATAAACTAAAACACAAAGGAAACCAGTACTGGAGTAAGTGTGAGAAAACAGTTAAAACAGCAAAGACAGCTAAGTATAGCAGTACAAGCTTTCAACCCCACCACTCTGGAGGCTGAGGCAGGCAGATTTTATGTGTTTGAGGCTATCCTGGTCTATATAGTGAGTTTAGAACAGCCAGGGAGAGACCCTATCTCAACAAACAAACAAATCAGCGAAACCAAGACCTTCTTTGTTTTCTTATTTGAACATAGGTGGTTTAAACTCCCAGATCAAAAACATAGGTCTCAGAACAGATTAAAAAGGAGTAGGGGTTAGGGGAAGGAGTATCTGACTACATGGTTTCTATAAGTCTCAGTGTGTATTTAAGGATATGTGAAAGTTGGAAGTGAAAGAATAGAAAAAGATATTCCATGAAGATAGTAACCAAAAAAGAGCAGTGGTATTGTGTTAATAGAAGAAAAAAATAGACTTTTAAGTCAAAATTTGTTAAAAGAGGGACATTGTACAGTGATTTTTCTTTCATTTTTCAGGACTATGTATAATTTATTTTTTTCCACTTTTTCTTAAGTTAAATTAGAAACAGTCTTATTTTATATATCAATCCCAGTTTCCTCTTCCTCCCTTCCTCCCATCCTCCCATGCCCCCCACCAGCCCACATCCCACCCCTCTTCTGCTCCATAGAAAAGGTGAGGCCTTCCATGGGGGAATCATCAAAGTCTGTCACATCATTTGCGGCAGGGCCTAGGCCCTCCCCCGTGTATCTAGGCTGAGAGAGTGTCCCTCTATGGG